CGACGCCTTCGAGGGGCTGCGCTCGCACATCCCCACCCTGCCCTACGAGAAGCGCCTCTCCAAGGTGGACACGCTGCGCCTGGCCATCGGCTACATCAACTTCCTCAGCGAGCTGGTGCAGTCCGACCTGCCGCTGCGCAGCGCCAGCAGCGAGAGCCCCAGCCAGCCCAAGAAAATCATCATCTGCCACCGCGGCACAAGTAAGTGGCGGGCCGGCACGGCCCGGTGAGGCCCGGCACCGCGATCCGCAGGAATGCCGGCCCCGGCAATAACCCCCTGCCTCCCTTTTCCCTCCTGCCCTCCAGGATCTCCCTCTCCGAGCGACCCCGACTACGGACTCCCCCCTCTGGCCGGTCACTCGCTGTCGTGGACTGATGAAAAGCAGCTCAAGGAACAAAACATCATCCGGACAGCCAAAGTGTGGACCCCCGAGGACCCGCGGAAGGTGAACAACAAACCCTCCGTCAACGACATAGAGAATGAGCCCCCCTTCGACTACGCGGCGTGAGGCGCCGCGCGGGTGGTCCCCGCCCGCTCTGTACATACTGTATGTAGAGACCTATATTGTAAATGTAATTTAAGATTCAGACTCTAAGGGCAATCAAATTTATTTATCTATTTATTACGGAATAGTGATAATGAGGTAGAATCGTTTGTTTTGAATATATAATTTATATAATTTATCTTGATTTTTTTAAAGATATGCAATAGGTTTATTCCACCAGCACTTTTTTTTTCTTTTTCTTTTTCTTTTTTTTTTTTTTTTAATTTTAATGGGGGAAATACGTCAGAACCTGTGAAAATAATTTATTGCCGCACGTGGACTCTCCTTGTGTTTGTTAATAATAAACCCGAATTGTACGTTGTGGAGCAGTATATTTGTGGGAAGCGGCTTCCGAGAGCCCCGCCACATCCCGAGGAAGCCTTGCAATGAACGCCTGGACCGGCGTCCCGGCGGGGTGAGCCCCAAGGCTCATGGCACCCTCAGCCCAGATGCTTGGCCCCACTCTGCCCCACCGCCGGCTCGGGCTGCGCTTATAGCGCCGGGGTGACGGGGACGGGCGGGGACACACTTTCGCCTTCTCTCCACCCCTTTTGACGTCCTCTCCTGAAGTGCTTCCAACTGATGTCTTTGTGTATCTCTAGAAGGTCCCCTCCTTTCAGTGTCTCAACACCGCTTGTGGTTTCCAGCTGGAAGACCCGAGCCCCCCAACACGAACCTTGCGAGGGTGTGCGTCCCCCGCCTCGTACCCCCGACCGCGCCGCCGTGGGAATGGGCGCGCTG